GGCACATGGGACAAAGACAGAGATCAGAAGTACGGCACAGAGCATCACGGGTGTGGGGAGGACCTAATTCAGATAGACTGGCCGGCAAAGGGCTCGCCAGGTGACATTTCTAGAGCTCTGGTCTGTAGTAAGCGTCCAGTAACAACGGCGCAATTGTTTGTCTCTTGGCTCCGCTGCTTTGTAGTTGGGTGACCTTGGACGAGCCAGCTGACCTCCCTGTTTTATTTCCTGTAAAATGGAGAGAATAGAACTTGCTTCATAGTGTCGTCGTGCGGATTATAAAGGCGTTAACATATACGTGAAGCGCATAGCAGAGCGCCTGGAGCATAGTAAGCGCTATGAGTTAACAGTTATTGTCACTGTCGCTATGGCAGTAACAGAAAACTCTGCAGGGCAGTTCGGAATCCCCCAGAAATCCTAGATGAGCCAAACTCAGCCTCATTCTGTGAGGCGGTATATACCCCTCGTCCTTATCCCCATGGACGGTGTTCTATAGAGCGGGGTGGCTGCCAACACACACATAGGCGTCCTTGGCAATGATAAAGACCCACTTGAGACAGCTGGAACCTACTAAAGCCCCTGGCTGCCTAGATTTTGGGTACAGAGGACTTCTTGGAAGAAGAGGATATTGGAGGAATAATAGAACTCTGTTGGCGAATAACACGAACCCCTCTCAAACCGGCTTAATCCTCAAAAGGGATGTTAACTGGCTGCTAGAACTGCCAAGGCCTGGGTGTATCCAGCTTCAGGCAGAGCTGAATCCAGCCCTTGGGTGTATCAGGACAGTACGCCATCACCTGGCCGTTTCGTCTGGGTCGGCTTTACCTTAGAGCAGGCGCTCTCCCTGTGGTGGCAGATGGGCCTGCTCCAGCTCCAGGACTGTATCCTCTTAGCTTGATAATCCCGGTAGAAGGAGAGTACCTCTTTCCAGTTACTTCTCCCAAATATTCGAAGGCTGGTTACCCTGGGTCTGGGTGGGGCCATGTGCCTGTCCATGAACCAATCCGTGTGGCCGAAGGGCGGGATAACTGCTCTGATTGGCCAGGCCTGGGTCAGGGGCTCTGATTGGCCAGGCCTGGGTCAGGGGCTCTGTGCTGGGGCTCCAGGCGGGGCTCTCCAAAGGAGAATCTGGAGCTCTTTTCAGAGATGGGAGGAATGGATGCTAGGCAACAAAAACAACAGCTGTCCCGGAAAGAGACGGTTCCACCCTCAGGAATGAAGGCAGAAATCAAGGGTGTGTCCATTTACCACGACAGAAAGGGCTGGGAGCTAGGGACTTGGCCCCCCGCCAGGAGGACGCAGCCCGGGCTCAGGAGCTTGGTCTCCATCTTGGGTTTTTCATCATCCTTGTTGGTTTCCCCTTTATTGCAAGGCCAGTCAGGAATGGGGAGGAGCTGGGGAAGCCGAGTCCCACATTTGAAGGCCAGGTTCTTGCAAGGAAGTGACGCAGGGTGCAGGCCTGAGGCTGAGAGGCCTGGCTGGTTTCTTGACATCTTCCCCATCAACCCAGACAAGGGTACAAACCAGGCTTAGTGGAACTACTCACATCTGGGGCTGGACAATTCTTTTTTTGTGGGGGCGGGGAGAGGGGGGGTGCGTCCTGTGCATAACAGGATGTTTAAAAGTGTACCTGGCCTCTGCCCACTAGATGTCAGATGTACCTGCCTCCCCAGTTGTGACAACCAAAAATGTCCCTAGACATAGCAGAATGTCACCTGGGGTCACAATAGGCTCTGGCCGAGAACCACTGGCCTAGAGGGTGTGTGGGGAGAGGGCTGGTGGTCGAGACCCCGGAAGCACATTCCTAGCCACACGGGGGGTGCGGTTGGCTGTGGCGTGAACTGGAGAGGTTGCCTGTGTGTGTCCCCTTGTTACTTGCTGAGAAGTCACTTACTCGCACTTGCCATTGATGAAATATCTGGGGGAACGCCACCGTAGGGCCCCTCCACTGTCTTGGAGGGGCTGCTGGCATTCTGTTCTGACATATCCGGTTCTTCGGTTTTCATCCCCGGCATGCTTACAGGCCTTTGTGACAAAGCAGCTCTGGCCGGACGATATTTTTCCCAAAGGTGGTCTGTTGGGATTATGGTGCTGGGTGTACAACGTGAGTTATGTCGACAAGCAGTTTTAACATTTCAAGAGATGGGTATTTCAGTGTGTTGAGTTTTCTTGTTAGTGAGTAGACTTAAGGGATTTGGTAAATAACTAACTGGGATGCCTGTTAGGAGCATCTCTTGCCAGACACCTTCCCTTCTGAGCCTGCCTTCTCTCTTCTGTAGGCAAAGGTGATGGTCCCCGAAGCACCAGGCTCCTTCTCGGTCGGTGGCATCAATAATTTATCCCAGTCAATGGCCCCACGGCCAAGGCAGCGTAGGAGATGCTCACGAGATCCTGTAACAGAGCAGGGAGAGGTGGTCGATACCGCATTTACTTAGGGAAGCCCCAGGGACCTGCTGGAGCTGCCTGGTTACAGCCCCACGTGCGGGTGGAGCTAAGGCCATGTGACTGGCTGGAGCTGCCTGGAAACTGGCTTGGGAGCAGCGCTGTGCAGGCCGGGGCTTTCTGAAGGCCGGGCTCCCTTCGAAAGCCAGCAGCAGTGCTGGTGGGTACAGGGAAGAGTCCCGGTGGCTTCGGTGTTTACTCGGCATCTACTCTGCGCCAGCGCTGGGCGCCGAGTCTTCGCCCGTGGTGCTCATCCCGGCGATTCCGCCCCCCAGGGGACATGTGGCAGTGCCCGAAGATCTTTTGGGTGGTCACAATTGAGGAACGGCGTTTGCTTTGGGCATCTGGTGGGGGGGAAGCCGGGGATGCCGCTTAAACCTCCGAAGTACACGGGACAGGCTCCGAAACAGAGAATGGTCCCTCGCAAAATGTCAGCACTTCTGAGTTGAGAAAGCCCGGCCTCTGCTGATAGACAAGACAGACAGTGTCCCCGACCTCCTGCGGCTCCTGGGAGAAAGGCAGGAAGGGAGGAGAGGAGGAAAGGAGGGGAGAAACAAAGTAAACGGGCCCAAAGATGACAGATAGGATTAGAGCTAAGGAGTAGAGAGGAGGCTCTGGTAGAGAGGAATGGGGGTGTGACCTTGGCCAAGGTCCGGGTGGATGACATTAGAGCTGAGACCAGCGACGGGAGGAACATCCTCCTGAATAGAGGGAGCAGGAAGGACCGTGGGAGACTAAGCCGGTCCCCAGTTTGCATGGGGGCCGGGGTGCCAACGAGCACCCTGCAGGCATCCCCAGGAGACGTGGTGGACGGGCGTGGAGTGAGAGGGTGGACCGTCTGGAAATCTCTGGGGGGTGGGGGTGGGGAACGTGGAACCCAAGAGTGTGTGGCACTGGATCTGAGGAGCTGAGAGGCTTCCAGGAGCTGCGTTGTGTGACCTTGGGCCGTGTCCTAGCCCGGAGACTGTGTTGTCACTCGTGTGAGGACTGGATGTGTTGCGGGCCTGGCCTAGAGCAAATCATCGCTGTTCCGGGTGATGCCTGCCTTCCTCCCGGCAGGCCTGGGCCCATGACTGTGTCTTTAAAGTTTCATTTTATTCCCTTGTTTTTCGAGCGGTCAGACATGGCCTCAAATTCAAAGACGGAAAGGGTATTCAGAGGAAGCAAGTCTCCCTCTCACCCTCTCTTCCAGCCGCTACCGACAATGATTCATGCTTGTTCACCCCGCCCAGCCAGGGGTGCAGATGGGTGCCGATCCATGCACCGCCCCACCCCCACGCGCCACGGCTGGCTGTGCTGCTGGGGGGAACGGGGCCCTTTTCCTGAGTGTCCACAGGCACCGTCTGGGCTGGCAGGTTTGCAGTGAGGTGGGTTTAAGGCAGTCAGGAGAGTGGGGGGGGGGTGTGTGTGACGATGCATCGGTCTTTCCTCTACTACCCCGCAACTTCTCTGCCCTGTTCCTGGCGACAGCGAGAAAGATGAGAACCCACCCAGCCCTCGCCTTCCTCCTGCTCTTCGTGATCGCCTCCGGGGCCTCCGAGAACGCCAGCACGTCCCGGGGCTGCGGGCTGGACCTCCTCCCTCAGTACGTGTCCCTGTGCGACCTGGACACCATCTGGGGCATCGTGGTGGAGGCGGTGGCCGGGGCGGGCGCCCTGATCACGCTGCTCCTGATGCTCATCCTCCTGGTGCGGCTGCCGTTCATCAAGGACAAGGAGAAGAAGGACCCCGTGGGCCTCCACTTCCTCTTCCTCCTGGGGACCCTGGGCCTCTTCGGGCTGACGTTCGCCTTCATCATCCGGGAGGACGAGACCATCTGCTCGGTCCGCCGCTTCCTCTGGGGCGTCCTCTTCGCGCTCTGCTTCTCCTGCCTGCTGAGCCAGGCGTGGCGCGTGCGCCGGCTGGTGCGACACGGCAAGAGCCCGTCGGGCTGGCAGCTGGCGGGCGCGGCCCTGTGCCTGATGCTGGTGCAGGTCATCATCGCCGTCGAGTGGCTGGTGCTGACCGTGCTGCGCGACGCGAAGCCGGCCTGCGCCTACGAGCCCATGGACTTCGTGATGGCCCTCATCTACGACATGGTCCTGCTGGCGAGCGCCCTGGGGCTGGCGCTCTTCACGCTGTGCGGCAAGTTCAAGAAGTGGAAGCAGAACGGGGCGTGCGTCCTGGTCACGGCGTTCCTGTCCGCGCTCATCTGGGTGGCCTGGATGACCATGTACCTCTTCGGCAACGCCGAGCTGCGGCAGGGGGACGCCTGGGGCGACCCCACCTTGGCCATCACGCTGGTGGCCAGCGGCTGGGTCTTCGTCATCTTCCACGCCATCCCCGAGATCCACTGCACCATCCTGCCCGCCCCGCAGGAGAACACGCCCAACTACTTCGACACGTCGCAGCCGAGGATGCGCGAGACGGCGTTCGAGGAGGACGCGCAGCTGCAGCGGACGTACATGGAAAACAAGGCCTTCTCCATGGACGAGCACAGCGCAGGTAGGTGACACGCCGCCCGCGCGAGCGAGCGCGAGGCCGCTCGTCCCAAGGGTCCTCTTCTTTCTCTCCCGCGGGGGACGGGTGGTCCAGGGGGCCGGTCCTGGCAGAGCGGAGCCCACGAACAGGAACCCCCGTCAGCGTTTACTTATCAATAAATAAATACATTTTTATATTTAGTTAGGTTTTTTTTTACCCCCCCTATCAATTGCCAACGAATTTAATATAAAAAGCCAGGTTTCTGGCTTCTTTTGAACAAGTTGGATCTGGCAAGGCCGGGGCTCGGTTCCCAGCTAGTAGCAGTCATCTGGGCCCGGCTAGAAGGCCCCGCCTCTTACCCCTCACTGGGTGGCCGCGGCTGTCCCTCTCCATGGGGATCCGCTTCCTGTTTACCGCACTCCCCACCGCTCCCTATTGTCCCTGACCGGGCCACTCTAACACGTTGACATGAATTGCCTGGCCTCCCTGGAAGTGTTCGTGTTTGCAGCCTGTGTGCTAGACGCTAAGGCGCAAGGCTGGTGTCCCCTGCCCTACCTCCGGCACCGAGAGCGTGACTTTGGGCCCTGCAGTCAGATGTCTGGGTTCGGATCCTGCAGCCGCCACTTCTTAGATGTGCCGTTTGGAGTGAATTAGTTCACCTCTCTGAGCCAGGTTTTCTCATCTGTAGAACAGGAATGAGAGCGTGTGCCTCTGGAGCTGTCCCGAGAAGTAACGTGCTGAGCGGGACGCTTCGAGGGGTTCCCACGGCACTCAGCACGTTGGATGTGTGTCTTGGGTGGGTCCCCCTGAAAGCGGAGCCTGAGGCTTGGTGTAGGCGGTTGACTCCGGAGGTCGGGATGGGAGTCACCTCCAGGAGCCCAGAGGGTCTTTGGGGATGAGCAGAGGCCAGGAGCCTGGCCAGTTTCTGTGGACCGCCGGGCTCCGCCTCTTCCTCGGCTCCCCTGGGAACGGGGTCCTACTCACCTGAGCCCCTGGACTCCCCCGCCACCTCGGTGGTAATGGGGACACCTGAAACGGATGTAAATGTTTGTTCATTGGGGAATTGGTCTGTCACTTTGTCAGGTCCTCAGAGCCATCTGTGACCCCCAGAAGGTTAAGAACTTGATGGTCTGGTTTCCTTGCAGTGAAATGGGGGTGCCGGAACCACCCAAGTTTTAAGTCTTCAAAAGTAAGGATGTCCGACCTTACTGCGTGCTTTTCACGGGCCAGGTACCATTCGGAGCATTTTGCCTACAACGACCCACTGAGGTCCACATTGCAGACAGGAAACTGAGGCACAGAGCGGCTAAGAGCCTTGCCCAGGCGGCAGAGCCGGGCTGCGAACCCGCACAGACGGACTCCAGAGGCCCCACGTTTGACCGCTCTGCCCTTCCCCAAGCATGTTAGTGTCCCACATCTCACTGACGCGTCAGGCCGACTCTGTGCGTTCAGAAGACGGGTTCTCAGGCCCATTTTACAGAGCAGGAAACTGAGGCGACCTGTTCAAGCTCGGGCCGGAAATGCAGAGCAGAGCAGGGAGGGGGAAAGTTGGTTTTCTGCATCTCATTACATGCACCCTTCCCTGCGAAAATGCGGCCAATACTTCATGAGATCCAGAGATCAGAGGGAACCGGGGTAGTACCAGCAGTGCCGGGCCTGGCCCAGAGGGGCATGTGGGTCCAGAGGTGCCCGCACCCTAACTATTTCATACCCTTACATGTACCAAAGCCAGGTAACGCGTCTTTCAGTCCCCTTCTTTCTCCCCCAAAACAAAAATAGCTTTATTATTCTTTTCTGATGGCAAAAGATCCATTAATAATCACATAGAAGGTCCAGCAAGTGAAAATAATAAAAATGGCTCAAATCCCATTGCCCAAAGGCTGCTCCTGCTGACTGCTCCCACCTTGCAAGACATCTCGGTGAACACACACGGCGCCCGCCCCCCAAAGGCTGCTCCTGCTGACTGCTCCCACCTTGCGAGACATCTCGGTGAACACACACTGCGCCCCCCCAGACGCAGACACACACACACACACACACACACACACACACACACACACGCACACGACACTCCCATAAAGCCATTCTTAACCTGGGCAGCTTAAAAAAAAAATCCCCATTCATTCTGATGAAATCTGTTTGGGTTTAGGTGTTTTTCGAGCTCCCCAAGTGATTCTAAGAGGTTAGTTAGCAGCTCGAGACCCCTGGGCCGAGCGGTGTTGTGCAGTGTGCGTGCTTAAATCAGTGTCATGGCTGGAGGGCTTTCCAGGCCGGGGGGCCCTTTTTTGAGATGCAGAGCTTTCCATGACGTGCCATCACATAATCTAGTGTCCTGATCTTTAGCTGGCGAATGTTCTGGCTTCCCATATAAAGTCATGCTGCAGGGAACATCTCCGTGGCCTTAATCAGTGAACTCCTTGCGAGAAAAAAATTCCTAGGCTGCTCCCACAGGTGCGTCAGAGAATCTGCAACTTTAAATCTTAGTCTGTACTGCCAGACGGCATCCCCAGAATGGTGAGCTAATATACGGACCCCCTTAATCATCGTAGGAGAGCCCTATTTCCCCCACTTGTTCACCGCCCTTGGCTGTTGTCAGACTTTTCCTTTTCATAGCCATTCTGCATCATCCCAAATGTGTGTCCACCAAAATTCACATGAGACCAAGCAGGGTGGGCTCCAGGCAGCACCGGTTCCCCCCAGAAAACTCACAGAGGCTAAACTGGCAGCCTCGCTAGGACCGCCTTTGTTCTAGAATCCCCCGCTCCGCTGGCTGGGGGGACGCCTGGGCACACTCCCTTGCCATCATGAGAACACCTGTTGGCATCTTTGGCGTTGACCTCAGCCAGCTTATATTTTAGGGAACCGGGACCCACAGCCTCGCCTCTTCCTCTAGCATTTTAAACAGCCAGCCTTTCAGGTTCTCGTCCCCTAAGCGTCCGTCCGTCCCTGACTCTTCGAGAGGTGGGAAGGCCATTCCCCAGGCTGGCCTGTGGCTCAGCCGTGCCCCAGCGACTTCCGCTCGCTTCTTGTCTTCCCCCGAGAGAGACCCCCGATATATACTTCACCAGCCTGCTTCTTATTAATAAGTATTTCAACAAGGCATGAGGTATGTGAGTAGAAAGATGAAAATACACCAAAGGATGTAGCACCTCCGATCACATCTTGGAAAGCGTGAACAAGGCGCATGAAATGTTCGCCTCGCGAAGGAGCAGGAAAGAAAAAAGAAGAGCTTTCTTTCTTCTGTTTGGGCTCAGGTCTCGTCAGGACCCCGGGCCATTTAAACTCTGACCTTTAGCTTCCCAGTGGCGAGCTAGGGTCGGCTTTGGGGCGGAGTCTCAATAGGGGAAAGCTGGCATTCAGCCTATGATCTTTGATTCCTGTGGGGACTCCCCTTACGGAGGAGCCCTGCTTACCCTTCACAGCTGACTGAGGTCAGAGTGGGGTGTTAGTTGGGATTCTTGAAGTTGCGAGTAATTAAAAAAAAAAATCTGTTTTGAATCAGCTTAACCAAAACAACAACAGCAAAACTAATGTGCTAGGGATCAAGCAAGCTTCAGGAATGGTTGGATCCAGGAAGCTCAAGGTGACAAGATCTGGTCTCTGCATCTCTTGGCTGTTAGCATCGTGGTACCCCACAGCTCTAGGCTTATCCCAGTAGAAAGGAGGAACATTTCCCAGATGCCTGAGCAAAAATCCCAGAGTTCTCTCTGATTGGACCTGATGGCCCTTGCCTGAACCAATGAGCACAGCCAGGGGAGAAGGCAGCCAACACTCAGGGAACTAGAATGTGGGAGAGATGTTTACCAGAGGAGAACCCCAAATCCACTACAGAGAGGGACCCTTGGGCCGAGGTGTCCCACGGCTACTCAGCATGTGCGTAACGGGCTGCTGAAGGCTTGGAGGTGCTAACACAAAAAGGGTTTTTCTAAGAGTGACTTGGGACATGCACTGCCCCTACCCCCCGCCTCAGTTTCTTTGGTCCAGTCTGGGCTGAGCTGCCCTTCATGCCACTTCGATCCAAGTTGCTTCTGAGTAACTAAGTATGGTGGTCAAAAACATAGTATTTGGAGCCAGAATCGTGTCGTGGTTAAGAACACAAGATTCTCTGCCTGAGTTTGAATGCTGGTTCTGCCACTTACCAGCTGTGTGACCTTGGACAAGTTATTTAATCTCTGTGCCCCATGTAAAATGGAAATAATAAAAGCCCTATTGTGTTACAAAAAATTAAATAATATGTAGACAGTACTTTCTAGAGGGCTGGGCACTCTGTGAAGGTTAACTGCATCACCAAGGTTGATTTGGGTCCCTGCCCCAAGGAGTGTGTAAACGTCCCAAACTCTCTTGCTACTTTTTAGCCAAAAAAATGACTCCCTTCAGAAAGACTTTTAGGAAAGGCTTTTCTTAGCAAAGCGAGATTAGTGCCTTCAATGAGAATGAAGATGATGAAGATGCCATCGCACGACTGAGATGGACTTTTGGTTTTGATTTTTTTTATAGTACTTCTAGTTTCTCCATTATTTTTTAATAGACTTTTTTTTTTTTTTTTTTTGGAGCAGTTTTAGGTTTATAGAGAAATTGAGCGGGAAATACAGGGAGTTGTCATATGCCCCTCCCCTAATAGGTTTCCCTATTAGCGAACTCCTTGCGTTAGTCTTACGTTAAAGTGTTGCAGTTGGTGAATCAATGCCGATACATAATTATTAACTAAAGCCCACGATTTACATTTTAGAGGTCACTGTTTGCACGGTTCTATGGGTTTGGACAAATGCATCCTCATGTCACGTATCCACCATTATAATATCATGCAGAACAGTTTCGCTGTCTAAAAATGCCCTGACGTCCACCGACTCATTACCACCCCCCACCCAGCCATCACGAATCCATTTACTGTGTCTATAACTTTCCCTTTTCCAGAATGTTATAGTTGGAATCTTACAGTGTGTAGCTTTTTACAGACTGGCTTCTTTCACTTAGCAATATGCATTTAAGTTTCCTCTGTGACATTTGTGTAATTTCCTTTATTCTCTATTTAAAAAGCGCGGATCTCTCAAAGTACACAGCCGCTAAGCAACGCCATGTACCCGCCTTTCAGAGGCAAAAAGTGTCGACCTGTTTTGCCAACTTTGCCTCAGATCTCCCTGTTTTCTCTTAGAAGTAACCCTGCCCCAAGTGGCGTCCCTCTGGGCTCCTCCCCGCCACTGTCCCGTGAAGACGGCCTCTATCATGTACTTGATGCCCTGTCCTTAGGCCTTCCCACCCTTGCGTGTATCCGGAGACAGCGGGCAGCGGCGAAGGGTCTGGTGTTGAACAGTGTGATGCCGAACTTGACGTGAATGGGAATCTGTACCACGGGGGTCTTTGTCAGAGGAGACCGTCTGAGGGATTCGGAGGTGCTTCCTTGCAGGGACTGGCGGGGGAGGGACAGAGGGGCAACCCTGCCCACCCCCCAC